CCATATTGACTTTTGACATTTTGAAAATTTAACAAAGTGATATCGACAATATAACCTTTTGATTAACCTTTGGAGGAGGTTTATTTTTTATTTATTTTTTTCCTCCTTCCTTCTCCCTTTTGATATAACAGTCAGGTTGCCTAATGTCATTTGTGGGGGTACTTATCGTGCAGGTCCATAGCATAGTGTCCGTCGTAGATCATTCAGAAGCGAACATGTTCTGTGCCACTCCGGTCGTCTAGGCTTCCTGGGTTCTGCGGGATTGCCTCGTGGTGGGTTGCGTCCCTTTCTCTGTTGAGGTAGGTATTCCCCAGGCTGTTAGTGCTTGCAGGCCCTCTTCTGGGGTGGAGAGGAATTTCGTTTCTCCTTGATGCGTGAGAATGATTTTCGTCGGGTAGCCCCATCTAAAGCGGATCCCCTGCCTTTGAAGGGCAGCCGTGACTTGCTGGAACTCCCGTCGTCGTCTGAGTGTTGCTGCAGAGAGGTCCGCCATTATGCGCACCGTGGGGTAGTTCTCGTGCGGGGTTGGTTTGCTGCGGTGTGTTTTTAGGACTACTTCTTTAATGTGGAAGTAGTGTGCCCGCAGGAGGACGTCTCTAGGGGTGGCGTCAGGTAGGTACTTGGGCTTTGGCACCCTGTGTACCCTATCCACTAGGAGCATATCAGCCGGTATGCCCGGGGCATAGGTGTTGAGGAGGCCCCTTACATAGACCTGTAGGTCTTCTGGGAGGACGGACTCTGGAACTCCTCGTAGCCGCAGGTTGTTACGTCTTGCCCTGTCCTCATAATCTGCCATGCGTGCTTCCATCGCCTCCATTTGCTTCTGTAGGTTGTTTAGGACGCCTTTTGTTGTAGATTGCTGTGAGGTGATGTTTTGGCACTGTTGTTCCACCCGTGAGGTTCTGGAGGAGAGATCCCTTACCTCTTGTTTAATTTGGTCCGCTGTTGATTGCCAGGTATGTATTAGCTTATTTGCCATGGCTTCCATGGCTTTTTCAAAGTAGTCTTTTGTGAGGCCATCTTGTGGGGAGGGTGTTTCTGCCGTTTGTGGAGTGTACTCCATGCTGTAATTTTCGTCGCCATCTTGCATAGGCGGCCGCAGTGTATCAGGTGCCGTCGGCCCTTTCTGGCCGAAAAAGTTGTTTTTGTCCGCTTTAATGGCAGATTTCTTGGGCTTGGCTTGTGACATCTCGTGTCCGCTGGTGAAATTCGCTGGTCTATTTGTGCTGTTCCTGTAATGTGGTGATGTTGTGGAGCCCATGTGCCGGAGCAAAGATTCACGCGGCCATCTTGCTCGGCGGTTCGCCACGCCCCCAGTTTATCTATACATTTTGTAAGACAAATAACTAACAATGCATACCTTTTCATACACAATAAAAATAATGAATTTTCTTTATCATGGTTTTTTGGAGGCCCAATAGAGGCAGACATGCTAACTGCAATATTTATTGTTTAAATTGTTTAAATAGCTTGACGTGTTTATTCTCATATGTATGCTTACCTTTAGTCATCTCCAAAGGTTGGGTTGGGTGCTCAACACAAAAGGAATCTGATCTGGATTCCAAATATACATAGCTGTATTTAACAATGTTTGTTATATATGTATGTATAGAGTTATAAACGCAACTATGTATATTTGGAATGAAGCGGATGCAGGCAGGGCCGGACTGGGAGAAAAATTCGGCCCGGGCATTTTTTTAACACAGCGGCCCACTAAAAAGGGGGCGGGGCAGAGGAGGTGTGTTTTGTCATCACCAATGACAAACACGCCTCCTCTCAAAGTGAGCATGTTGGTTCAATGCTCTTCCAGGGCAGACCATGCACAGAGCTCTGCTGAAGAGCTCTAGCATGAGAAAAAAGTCCTGTATTTGTTCTGCACAGTGCAAGCAAATTTAATAACATGCTTGCACTGTGTTTCCTTGCAACTTGTGTCTGGTGTCTCTATAAATGGATACCAGGAGACAAAAGGCCAGGACAGAGTATTGTGCATGTGTTTGGAGCCTGCTTGTGGTATTGCGTGTGTGTAGAGTGAGCTGGTCGTGGTGTGGTATTGTGTAATAAGGTCGGTTTTAGTCGTGTTGTGTTTGTGGTGTAATGTGATGCATATGTGGCTCAGGAACCCCCTCCCGCACGGCTCTGGAAAGGGGTTAAAACTTACCTTTTTCCAGCGCCGGGCGGGGAGCTCTCCTCCTCCGATCCGCCCCGTCGGCTGAATGCGCACGCGCGGCAAGAGCTGCGCGCGCATTCAGCCGGTCGCATAGGAAAGCATTTATAATGCTTTCCTATGGACGCTTGCGTGCTCTCACTGTGATTTTCACAGTGAAAAGCACGCAAGCGCCTCTAGCGGCTGTCAATGAGACAGCTGCTAGAGGCTTTGGGGGAAGGCTTAACCCATTGATAAACATAGCAGTTTCTCTGAAACTGCTATGTTTATAAAACAATAGGTTAACCCTAGAAGGACCTGGCACCAAGACCACTTCATTAAGCTGAAGTGGTCTGGGTGGCTAGAGTGGTCCTTTAAGAGTGTAGTGTGTGTGTGTGTATGTATATATATATATATATATATATATATATTTGGAAGTATTGTGTATGTGTGTGGTGCAGTGTGTTGGGGGGGTTCTGTGTGTATGTGAGGGGTGCAGTATGTGTGTGTGTGAGGGTGCGGTGTATGTGTGTGTGTGAGGGTGCGGTGTGTGTGTGATGTGTGTGAGAGTGCCGTGTGTGAGTGATGGGTGTGAGAGTGCCGTGTGTGAGTGATGGGTGTGAGAGTGCTGTGTGAGATGGGTGTGAGAGAGTGCTCTGTGAGAGTGCTGTGAGAGAGTGCTGTGTGTGTGTGAAAGTGCTGTGTGTGATGGGTGTGAGAGTGCTGTGTGTAATGTGTGTGAGAGTGCTGTGTGTGATGGGTGAGAGTGCTGTGTGAGAGTGCTGTGGGAGAGAGTGCTGTGTGTGATGGGTGTGAGAGTGCTGTGGGAGAGAGTGCTGTGTGTGATGGGTGTGAGAGTGCTGTGGGAGAGAGTGCTGTGTGTGATGGGTGTGAGAGTGCTGTGGGAGAGAGTGCTGTGGGAGAGAGTGCTGTGTGTGATGGGTGTGAGAGTGCTGTATAAATGTTATTGTGTGTGTGTGTAGGGGGGGTAAATAAAAAAAAAAGTCATTATTTCCCCCCCTCCCTTCTTACCTTTAGCCTGGGAGGGGGGGTCCGGCACGCTGGAGGCAGGGTGGCAGTGTTCCCTGGTGGTCCTCGTGGGTGAGTGAACTCTAGCCTGTGAGGCTAGAGTTCACTCTCGCGAGATCCGGCCGTTGCCATGGCAACGCGCCGGATCTCGCGAGAGGAACCCGGCGGAGCTGCAAGTTAGAGCTCCGCCGGGTCCTCTCTCCAGCCCTGGCTCCCTCTCTGCCCGCCGGCGGCCGCATGTGGGCCGGTCAGGGAGATCCTTGATCTCCCCACCGGCCCGTCGTGACAAACAGCGGGGCCGGCGCTAGGAGAGTACCGGCCCTGCATAGACCGGCAGGGGAGATCCTGAGACCTCCCCTGCGGGCCTCGGCCCATGGCCACCGCGGCCCACCGGGCATTTGCCCGGTGTGCCCGATGGCCAGTCCGGGCCTGGATGCAGGCGTGGTAACATAAAAGCATGCCAAACTGGGGGTCAAGTGTAGCACTCCTGTCCACTAACCTCTTAGGTTAACCTGACTGTATATTGGACGTGGACGGGCACGGCTGACTTCGACTGAATATGCAGAGCGAATATACCTGCTAAAAGAGCACAGGCGGCACCAATCGGCACCTCTGCTGCACAGACCACATAGTCAACAGCCCAACAGCCCAACTCCAGCTGCAGAAAAGGTCTCCCTACGGGGACATTTCATAGAGATAACAGGAGTGACTGGAACAGATGAAGTGGCTGAGGCAGAAGCAGGAAAAAAAGCACAAATGAAGCAAAGATGGCTCCAGGTGCAAGACCGCATGAAAGTATGCCGGTAAGCCCAGTATGAAGTTTAGCTATGTCGCTAACCTCAGCTGATGACCTAGACATACAAACTTTATTACTTAAGCTTTTTTCAAAAGCTAATATGGCCAATATGTTTGACAAACTAGAGGCACAAGTGAGAAACTACAAATACTGGATACTGAAGTACAGCATTTGGGTCAGATAGTCCATAACTTAGAGGAAGGGGAAACAGCACTAACATATTAGTCAGAATGGCAAGACTTATTACAAAAACACAGTACTGCTCTGCATTATATATATATGAAGCTTGATGATGTGGATAATAGGGGCAGAAGGAACAACTTTATTAAGGGAGTCACTGAGGCACCACAAGGTGGTTTAGAGGACACTGAGAAAGTCAAATTTTACAGCAACTTACTGAGACAATGATCAAATTTGACCGAGCACATGGGGCTGTGAGATCAAAATCATTAGCCCAGAAACAACCTCGTGATGTTATCTGTCACCTCCATAAGTATCCCTTGAAAGAAGATATTCTAAAGCAAGCTAGACAGCAACTGGATATAATATTCTAACAAAGTATAAAGAAATGGAGGGACACGCAACCAAGATATTGTGCATTAAGTGCTACTGCATTTTAATGAAGAATAAGTAAAGATACAAACATTTCGGGTATAACTCTTCTTCAGTGCATTTGTCCTTACCAAACATAACAACACTCACCAATTTGTGTACAATAGTGCTCAAAAAATCATAATAAGCCCGCCCCCAATGTGTATGTAGATGATGGGACTCATGTTCTTGGTCCGTTGCCATCTTCTCTGTCTTCACCGAATAACCCACGGTCACATTATAGTGTCACGACGTATGACATCCATCAGCATTGTGCGTCATGATGCTCATTGCTAAGATACAAGAACACATTGGCTTAGAGTACTGAATCATCAGAGGAAAACTACAGTGGCCCCAAATGGCCAAACCAAAGTAAATGCAAAACAATGCAGACATCAGAGGTATATATATATATATACCGATGGAATCTATCGAACAAAAAACATACACAAACACTCAGAGACACACACACATACATATGTACCATAAGTTTTATATTTGCAGACACACTTCTGTTAACACACCTTTTGTGTGCAAGAGGGCGGCTTGCTTGGAGTCCTGCTGCTGGCATAGGTTGATGGGAGCGTGGTGTCTGGAGTAGCTCTCTCCTTGCTCCTCTCCCCCATGCTGCCTGTGCCACCTTCTCCTCCTTCTTCTCTGCCTCCCACGCAGGCTCTCTGCATAGCTGAGAAAAAGTGATCGGCTCTCACTTTCTCCTAAGCTGCCAATGTGCAAGTGGCCCAGTTGCACTGTTAAAGGCCACGGCACTCAACCAGGCCCCTGTTCAGCAATACCCATTGGGTGGCAATAAGTGCATGGGCCAACCCCGATGCGGACCACCACCAGTATGCAGACACCTGTGCAGCTGCACTGGCTGCACCAGTGGTAGTTCTGTTGCTGTTTCTATCTGTTTGTCTCCTCTCTTCATACCTGTATTTTTAATTGTAGGTGCCAACATGAGCTTTGGATTAGGAGCTATTGAGTATATAATGTTTGGAGTGACACCTAGTATTTTATCCAAGACCAGATCACTTCTCAGTATATCATAATGTTTCAAAAGGATATTCCTGATAAGGTGTGAATAGGAACAAAATTGAGTGATGAAGGCTGGTGTCATTTTGTCCTCTGTAGTATGGTCATCTGAGGATTTCCTCTCTTGGTAGTGCCAGAGTTCGCTGCATGGCAATCTCTAAGAGGGAGCAGGATATCCTTTCTCAAAAGAAATTACTCTTCCATTTGTGACCTGCAGGCCATTCATTCTGAGCAGTTTCTCTTGATTCTTCTGAATTGACTGAATATTATGTTATCCAGCCACCTGCTATCAGCAGGGATGAAACTGTTACAGTCCACACTTTTCTTGAAAGTCATTTTCTTTCTTTCACGGAGACTTCAAGATCTAAAAATGTGATTATTTCTTTGGAGTGATGAAATGTAAAAATCAAGCTTATATGGATTAAAATTTAGATGATTCTTAAATTATTCCAACAGTTCTACATCTCCATTCCATATAAATAGGCAGTCATCTATATTCCTATGCTACACAAACAGGTTTGCGTAAAACGGGCAATTGTTCCAGAAATATGTATCTTCCCACTTGCCCATGAACAAGTTGGCATAGATTAGTGCAAATCATGTTCACATGGTTATCCATGCCAGCTGTACATAAAAGTGGTGATCATCACAGAAGAAATTATGGCTGAGGATAAAAGCCAAACATTAAACTAAAAAATCAATATATTCACATCAGAATATACTGCCAGTGAGTACGGATGACCTCACATCCTTGCAGAGGCTCTGTGACAGTATATAATGAAGTCAAATCTGCTGTATTTTCATAATCTTTATTCCTTTGATTATTTGCTATAGTCACAGATTTACAAGATTACCGTTAACATTGGATTTTTCATATGGATTTGAAAGAATTCCTCTAGAAAGTAGCATGTAGGAGAGCATTTCCAAAGTATTGTTTTGTAAAATTAGGACTTTACCTTACAGACCTTCTTTCTAAAAACCCAGTCGGAATGTTACTTAGCTTTCATTCCCTAAACTAATTTCCCTTTTCTCTAAACTCAACTCAATATGAATAACTTGGCTGACTTCAGGCTAACCTCAACTTTCAAACGAGTTACACAGCAGGTGGAGGCAATTAAGAGAGATGAACATCTTTTTCAAGAATCGAGATGTTTACACAACAGTAACTTTAAACTTCTTATAACCGAAAAGAGAAGTAAATATAACAGAGGTACTAAAGAGAAATGAGAATATGAGAAATGAGAAATATTTCTATATGCAAAAATAAAAAATCACATCCATGTTAGCTGTATTTCACAGCAAAGAATGTCTATAAAAGTGCAATACATTTTACCAAACTTCTGTGCAAATTCTTTTTACCTGTGATGATCAAATCGAATTCCTATTAATCTACGCCTGGGATTTATGTGACGGATTGATTCATTTGGGTATAGATTAACAGGAAGTTGATTAATTTGTTGTAGCTGAAAAGGATTTGTGCACAAGTCTTCATTCTACCCTGACCCTTGGTAAGTCAAGGGGAATTTGGTAACTGGCATGTAGCATGATTGGTAATATTTACTCATAAAGAGCCTGGGTGCACATCATTAATTTGTTGATTGTACATTGCATATTCAGTTGGCACTAACACTGTTGACTATGTTCTGACAAGCAAACTATTTATGACCGTTTCGGACAGTTCAGGCACTGCAAGAAAAAAAGCTTGCTCCAGCAGTATGCTCAGTACTTATATCTTACCGTTACCTAATTAGTTGATTTATTATTGTCATGGGGGAGTGGGTGTACAATACAATAGAAATGAAATGATTTATAAAAATGACAAATAATACAAAGTAATGCAAGTTATTATTTGATTCACTTTTTACTAAATACAGAGGATGTATTGTAATATTATTATTTTTATGGTGACACCTTGGCACCAAAGCCATGTGATGCTGACACATTAATCTGTGTTTAGAACATCTGGGTCTTGTTTTCCATCTTGTACTTTCATGTTGGCTATAGAAATTTTTTGCAGAATCTTGCATGTATTTTTAAAGTTATCCACTAGAGGATGCTATTGATTTAGCAAACAACTGTCAGTGATTTTATGATAATATCATTTGATTACTGAGGACTTTTTTAGATGTAATTTTTTTCTAATATTGAAAGTTTTTATTTCATTAAATATATAATTCAATCAGTGTGTTAAAGCAGATCATTGTCCCTTTCAGTGCTAGTTTTTATATAAAATACACAGATGAGAAAAAAATGTTCCTTGTTTCTGTTTGCAATAGGAAATTATGTAAGTACAATTTATTTACTAGATCAGCAGTCATTATTGTCCACGTAAACCATCCCTGGAACACGTGGAGTGTACCATGGCTTGCATGTATCAGCAGTGTGAGATAGTTCAACAAGATGAGGGAAGTGACAGACATAAAAATAGTATAAGGAATTTAAAACATTTAAGCTGTTTACTAATCTGCTGCTAGAACAATAAGGCATAGTTTGAAGTGAGCACTTGGAAAACAGATATGTGATTGCAGAAGTGGTACTTTACATTAGTTTGCTCCTTAGAGTTGCCTTCCAGTAGAGATGGAAAGGTAAACAAATTGTGGAAAAAAAGGCTGAAACGTACATAAGGCTACATTTAAAATTTGAGGTGATCGAGGAGACCATTGACGTCATTTATTGTTCTGGTTTGTTTGTAAAAGACCTGAGAAAATTAATCTAGCTGGTGTTCATGTAACCACTGTTCTTCTCTTCAGTTTGTCATTGCAGTGTATCATCCAGTAATATGGAAATATGATAAAATTGCAATCTATGTGTCTTAAGGTGTGAATACTAAAAGTACTTTTATGAATTACCTGCATATCTCAGGGTGGATTACTGATATAGATTGGTTGCTTCATCTAAGTGTGTGGTTGGAGATATTCTGGAGAGTGCCGCTTCTAAGTGTGTGGTTGGAGATATTCTGGAGATAAACTGAAGGTAATCTGAGGTATTCAGGAGGAAAGATTTGTTTGATTTAAATTATTCATCTCATTGAAATGGCAGACTTTGTTCAGTGTAATAGTTGTTATGCATTTGTTTCACGTTCCACTTTTTGGATATTTGGATGCTGTCTAATCTGTAGACAGTTCTCTATATTGCGGCAGGAGATTGTATTTTTGAAGTCTGAGATTTATAAATTATCTGGTAAACAAACTCAGGCTGGAACTACTGCAAAGCCACTGCCGCAGAGACATCCTAGGAATGGCAGATGGATTACTGTAGGATCTGGTAGACTGAGAGTTGTGGATAGCAGGCATATTGCACAGTCTGTTACTCTACATAATTAATTTTCTGCACTTTCAGAGTGTAATGGTGTTATGGACACAGGCTCAGGCACTGAGGGTAGTGGTGTTGTGGAGACAGGCTCAGGCACTGAGGGTAGTGGTGTTGTGGAGACAGTCTTGGAGACTGTGGTGAGGCCTAATAGAAAGCAGTTGTTGTTGTTGTTGGGGGACTCCATCATAAGAGGTGTGGAGATGGACAATGGTGGTCTTGTGAGATGTCTTCCCGGAGCTACTGCTCACAGAGACAGGAGACGTATCTGTAATATTGTTAAGCAAGCAAAGCAGGAAGGGGAATTGGATGTACTTGTCCATCTAGGGACAAATGACTTGGCTTGCAATGAGGTTTCAGAGGTTAAGGAAGTTTTTAGTGTTTTTGCCAATGATATACGGCAGGTTGCTTCCACACTGTCATTCTCTGAAGTTCTGCCTGTGCATAACACTCAGAACGACAGGCGGATGCGTATTAGGGACTTTAATTTGTGGCTTGGTGAATGGTGTCGGGAGAAAGGATTTGGCTTTATTTCTCATGGTTGCTCTGTTTGGAATGGAAATAAACTGTACAAAAAAGATGGTTTGCATCTTTCTCAAAAGGAAACAAATGTTCTCATTGAGCAGTTCAGAGGTTTTGCTAGGGTGTATTTAAACTAGGAGGGGGGCAAAAGGGTGATAAAACCAATCCAATTGCCCCCCAAAACAAGGACAGAAGGTGCATGTAGCAAGTGTGTTAAAAAAGGATAAGCTTAGAGTTATGTCTACAAATGCTCGCAGTTTAGGGAATAAGATCCATGAACTTGTGGCAATAATGGCAACTGTTAGTGTAGATTTAGTCGCTGTTACTGAGACATGGTATAATGAGAAAAATGACTTAGCAATATCAGGGTACTCTTTATTTAGAAAAGACAGAGAAGGCAAGAAAGGGGGAGGGGTGGCCCTGTATGTGAAGGGTAGCATAAAATCTAGCCTAATAAAAGTTAGTGAGGCGAACATAGTGTCCATTTGGGTTACGTTGGAATTTGGTAGTCACATGGTGGCTCGTGTAGGTGTGATTTATAGGCCCCCAGGACAAATAGAAGAGCTAGATAATCAACTAGTTGAGGAAATAGCTAAAATGACAATGAAGGGGGAAGTTATCATCATGGGTGACTTTAATCTTCCTTTATGAATTGGAAAACAAAATTAGCTACTTGTGCCAGGAGCGCATATATTCTAAACTCCCTACTGGGATTGTCTGTAAAACAAGTCATTGAGGAGCCAACTCGTAAGGAGGCCATACTAGATTTAGTGTTAAGAAATGGAGATTTGGTATCAGATATTACTGTAGGTGAAAGTTTAGGATCCAGTGATCATCAGTCAGTGTGGTTTAATATAAGAACAGTGACTGAGTCACACCATACAAAAACAAAAGTTTTAGACTTTAAAAAAACAGACTTTTCTAAAATTAGAATATGTGTAAAGGAGTCATTATCAAATTGGAGCAATTTAAATAGAGTCCAAGGGAAATGGGATTATTTAAAAGTTGCACTGCTGAAGGCAACAGAAAATTGCATTCGGCTTGTCAGTAAAAGCAAAAAATTCAAGAAACCACTATGGTACTCCGTGGCCAAAATAGTAAAAAATAAAAAGTTAGCATTTAGTAATTATAAAAAAACCCAGAGTGATGAAGACAGAATGCTCTATAAGATTAGGCAGAAAGAGGCTAACCAAGTTATAAGAGCTTCCAAATCACACACAGAAGAGAAAATAGCAGTCAGTAAAAAAATGGGACAAAATATTTTTTAGATACATAAATGAGAAAAGGAAAGTAAAACAAGGATTAGTTAGATTAAAAACAAAAGAAGGAAGGTATGTAGAAGAGGATAAAGGTCTGGCTGACTGCCTCAATTAAAATTTTTGTTCAGTATTTACAGATGAAAATGAAGGAAAGGGACCTCAGTTAGGAAAAAGGACAAATGAGTCATTTATTACATGTGAGTTTACAGAGGAAGAGGTTTTATTTCAACTGTCAAACGTAAAGACAAATAAGTCAATGGGACCGGATGGAATACACCCAAAGTTATTCAAAGAGCTAAGTGGTGTACTAGCAAAACCATTGACAGATTTATTTAACCAATAATTGATAACAGGAGTAATCCCAGAAGATTGGAAGTTAGCGAATGTGGTGCCCATTCATAAGAAAGGTAGCAGGGAGGAGTCGGGCAACTATAGGCCAGTAAGCCTTACTTCAGTAGTGGGGAAAGTAATGGATACCATGTTAAAGGATAGGATTGTTGAACATCTAAAAACACATAGATTTCAAGATCAGAGACAACATGGGTTTACTTCAGGGAGATCATGCCAAACTAATCTTATTGATTTTTTTGATTGGGTAACTAAAATAATAGGTCAGGGTGGTGCAGTAGACATTGCTTACCTAGATTTCAGTAAGGCTTTTGACACTCTTGCACATATAAGGCTTATCAATAAACTGCAATCTTTAAGTTTGGATTCCAATATTGTTGAATGGGTAAGGCAGTGGCTGAGTGACAGGCAACAGAGGGTTGTAGTCAGTGGAGTATATTCGAAGCATGGGCTTGTCACCAGTGGGGTACCTCAGGGATCTGTACTTGGATCCATTCTCTTTAATATTTTTACTAGTGATATTGCAGAAGGACTTGATGGTAAGGTATGTCGTTTTGCTGATGATACTAAGATATGTAACAGGGTTGATGTTCCAGGAGGGATAAGTCAAATGGCAAATGATTAAGTTAAACTAGAAAAATGGTCAGAGTTGTGGCAACTGACATTTAATGTGGATAAGTGCAAGATAATGCATCTTGGACATAAAAACCCAAGGGCAGAGTACAGAATATTTGACAGAGTCCTAACCTCAACATCTGAGGAAAGGGATTTAGGGGATGATTATTTCTGATGACTTACATGTAGGCAGACAATGTAATAGAGCAACAGGAAAAGCTAGCATAATGCTTGGTTGTATAGGGAGAGGTATTAGCAGTAGAAAGAGGGAAGTGCTCATGCCATTGTACAGAACACTGGTGAGACCTCACTTGGAATATTGTACGCAGTACTGGAGACCGTATCTTCAGAAGGATATTGATACTTTAGAGAGAGTTCAGAGAAGGGCTACTAAACTGGTTCATGGATTGCAGGATAAAACTTACCATCAAAGGTTAAAGGATCTTAACATGTATAGCTTGGAGGAAAGACGAGACGGGGGGGGGATATGATAGAGACATTTAAATACATGAAGGGAATCAACACAATAAAGGAGGAGACCATATTTAAAAGAAGAATAACTACCACAACAAGAGGACATCATCTTAAATTAGAGGGGCAAAGGTTTAAAAATAATATCAGGAAGTACTACTTTACTGAGAGGGTAGTGGATGCATGGAATAGTTTTCCAGCTGAAGTGGTAGAGGTTAACACAGTAAAGGAGTTTAAGCATGCGTGGGATAGGCATAAGGCTATCCTAACTATAAGATAAGGCCAGGGACTAATGAAAGTATTTAGAAAATTGGGCAGACTAGATGGGGTTCTTATCTGCCATCACATTCTATGTTTCTATGTTTCTATTTGGGCTAAAAACTTGAGAAATCATTACCTCTCCTGATCATCCAGTGAGGCTTCCCTAACAGGCATGGGGACGGCTAGCCAGCAGGTTGTACATACCCCCACGACTCCTGCACCTACTGGTGGCTCTCCAGTAACAGAGAACACACTTAGAGATCTCCTGGGTGAACTCTGTTGCAATATCGCAGCCGACATAGGCCATTACCGAAAGGAGCTTGGAGGAGTGTCCACACGTCTCCACAATGGAGCTGAACGCAGCGGCTCATGAAACCCAACTTTCTAGTCTCGAAAACAAACTACAGATGTTACAACGCGAACACATCCTGGTTCAAGATCGCATGTCAACTATGGAGGACAGGGGGAGGTGGAAGAATGTAAAGGTGCGCGGCCTAGCTAACAACATGGATGCTGCTAAAATTCCACACTTCTTCAGGAGACTGCTGTTGTTAATCTTTAATGCCAAACAAGCTAAAGCATGGCTGCTACGGAATACCAGCTTCATCCAAAACTACAGCAGAGACCTGCAGAGACGTCATTATCCGCTTTCAGGCAAGACCGCCTTACCTTCATGACAGCAGTTCGCAACAAATAATCATCATAGGCGTGCGCACGGGCTGTGCCGGTTGTGCCTGGGCACACCCTAATCCCCGCGGCACGCCTATGTAGTGAGACCGGCAGGGGAGATCTCAGGATCTCCCGTCGGCTCATGCAGAGCCAGCCCTATCTAGACGCCGGCTCTGCTCTCAGCCTCCCTTCCCACCGACCCACATGCAGGGAGGGAGGCAGGAGAGGACCCAGGGAGCTATTGCCGGCAGCTCCGCCGGGCTCCTCTCGCAAGATCTGAACGTTGGCGCGGCAACGCTCAGATCTCGCGAGAGTGAACTCTAGCCTTACAGGCTACAGTTCACTCACCACTGGACCACCAGGGATGGCAGAAAGGATCCCCCCTCCCTACATAAGCTGAGAAGGGAGGGGGGATATTAAGTAATTTGCCCCCACCTCCACTGGACCACCAGGGAAGGCAGCAAAGAACAAGAATCCCCCCTCCCTACATAAAGTAAGAAGGGAGGGGGGATATTAAGTAATGTATCCACACACATACAGCACCCACAGACATACACAGCACCTACACACATACAGCACCCACAGACATACACAGCACACATACAGCACCCACAGACATACAGCACCCACAGACATACACAGCACCTACACACATACAGCACCCACAGACATACACAGCACCTACACACATACAGCACCCACAGACATACACAGCATCTACACACATACAGCACCCACAGACATACACAGCACCCACAGACAATCACAGCACCCACAGACATACAGCACCCACAGACATACACAGCACCTACAAACATACAGCACACACAGACATACAGCACCCACAGACATATACAGCACCTACACACATACATTACCCACACACATACATTACCCACACACATACACAGCACTAACACACATACAGCACCCACAGACATACACAGCACCTGCACCCACAGACATACACAGCACCAACACACATACAGCACCCACAGACATACACAGCACCTACACACATACAGCACCCACATATATACAGCACCCACACACATACACAGCACCAACACACATACAGCACCCATAGACATACACAGCACCTACACACATACAGCACCCACAGACATACACAGCACCTACACATACAGCACCCACACACATACATAGCACCAACACACATACATCACCCACACACACATAAGGCACCCACACACACAGCACCCTCACAAACAGCACCCTCACAAACACACACAGCACCCTTACACACAGCACACAAACAGCACCCTCACACACACACAGCACACTAACAGTACCCTCACAAACACAAACAGGACCCTAACAATCACACACACACAGCACACTACCAGTACCCTCATACACAAACAGCACCCTCACACACAGTACATTAACAGCACCCTCACAAGCGCACACACACACACCCCCTCACCCACATAGCACACTACCAGCACCCTCACACACACATCACACTAACAGCACCCTCACACAGCACACACACACACAGCAGTGTATGTGTGTGTGTATATATGTGTATATATATATATATATATATATATATATATACACATATATACATACATACATATATATACGCGGCGTGTGCTTGTGCTTTAGGGTGCACACCCTAATGCAATAGGCTGCGCACGCCTATGATCATCATATACGTTTGAGGATCACTCTTTAACTTTCTACCCAGATCTCTCCAAAGCCATGTTGGACTGGCGGAGAGCCTTGTGACCTCTAACTAAGGAACTTGCTACCCACAAAGTGCCATATAAGTGTGGCACTCCACGATGCCTGATCATCCCTAGAGACTCTGGGACTTAAAAGATTACGGATGCTTCGGAGATCCTTGCTGCCCTTCACACACTGAGAGCTGCCTCCTCCAACGACATCACGAACGCAGAGGTCCTGGGACACTGACATGGTTCGACCTTTTGTCCTAGATGCGCTGAGAGAGAGCCCCGCAACGGCAGTGATACCATGAACACAGCCTGCAGGCAACCTCTGTTGCCCCTCAATATCAATGTTAAAGGGACACTATAGTCACCAGAACAACTACAGCTTATTGAATTTGTTCTGGTGAGTAGAATCACTACCTTCATGCCGTTTGCTGTAAACAGTGGCGTACATACCAGGGGGCCCGGCCGCCCCTGCGACCCGGTATGTAGCCACAGAGCCAGCCTCTTCCCCTGGGGGGCCCAGAGGCCGGCCACCTCAGGGCCCCCCGAGGCTGGCCCTGCTGACACCAGCGGGCGGGCTGTTTGGGTGGCCGGCGCGCGAGGGAGCACTTTCCCCTCAGCGCTTCCTCTTCAGCTCCCTCGCGCGCCGCACTGATGCTGGAGCCGGAAGATGACATCATCTTCCGGCTCCGGTATCCCTACGCGGCGCGCGAGGGAGCTGAAGAGGAAGCGCTGAGGGGAAAGTGCTCCCTCGCGCGCTGGCCACCCAAACAGCCCGCCCGCCCAGCAGCCCAGCAGCAGCACCACTGGACCCCAGGGAATCCCCCCAGCACCCCAAAAGGTAAGGAGGCTGGGGGGATTCAATTTAAAAAAAAACATGTGTTAGTGTGTGTGTGTGTTAGTGTGTTAGTGTGTGTGTATTAGTGTTAGTGTGTGTTAGTGTGTGTGTATTAGTGTTAGTGTGTGTGTGTGTATTAGTGTGTGTGTTAGTGTGTGTGTATTAGTGTTAGTGTGTGTGTGTGTGTTAGTGTGTGTGTTAGTGTGTGTGTGTGTGTTAGTGTGTGTGTTAGTGTGTGTGTATTAGTGTTAGTGTGTGTGTGTATAAGTGTTAGTGTGTGTGTGTATTAGTGTGTGTGTTAGAGTGCGTGTGTATTAGTGTGTGTGTTAGTGTGTGTGTATTAGTGTTAGTGTGTGTAAGTGTGTGTGTGTGTATTAGTGTTAGTGTGTGTATTAGTGTTAGTGTGTGTGTGTGTTAGTGTGTGTGTTAGTGTAAGTGTTACGTGTGTCTGTTATTAGGTGTGTCTGTTATTGGGTGTGTCTGTTACTGAGTGTGTCTGTTACTGAGTGTGTCTGATGTCTGTTAGTGAGTGTGTGTTTGTCAGTGAAAGTGTATGTTTTGTAAGTGAGTGTGTATGTATGTCTGTCGCTGAGTGTGTCTCTGTCAGTAAATGTGTGTGTCTGTTAGCTAGTGTGTATGCGTCTGTTCGTGAGAGTGTGTGTCTTCAGCATTTACCTTTCTCCAGCGCCGGACTTCCTTGGCGCTGGGGATCCTGCCGCCTCTCAGCTCCGAATGCACATGCGCGGCAAGAGGCGCGCACGCGCATTTAAGCCGCCCATAGGAAAGCATTACTCAATGCTTTCCTGTGGACGTTCAGTGTCTTCTCACTGTGATTTTCACAGTGAGAATCGCGGAATCTCCTCTAGCGGCTGTCAATGAGACAGCCACCAGAGGCTGGATTAACCCTCAGTGAAACATAGCCGTTTCTCTGAAACAGCTATGTTTTCAGCTGCAGGGTTAAAACTAGAGGGACCTGGCACCCAGACCACTTCATTGAGCTGATGTGATCTGGGTGTCTGTAGTGGTCCTTTAGGTGTGTGTGCAGTATACCGCATTCGCGGGGTCGCAGCCCTGCGACCAGGTGCCCGCCGCCATGGGTTGCAGCCCCGATCCGCGCCAAGTAAGCGCGCGGGGGGGGGGCCCACGGATCAATTTTTGCACCGGGGCCCCATGGGTCATGTGTACGCCACTGGCTGTAAACACTGTCTTTTCAGAGAAAATGCAGTTTACATTACAGCCTAGTGATAACTTCACTGGCCACCCCTCAGATGGCTGCTAGAGATCCTTCCTGTGTCATGGCTGCCTAAAATGCATCCAAACATTCAGTGTCTCCACCCTCTGCATGCAGACACTTAACTTTCCTCATATAGATGCATTGATTCAATTCATCTCTATAAGGAGATGCTGATTGGCCAGGGCTTTGTTTGAATCATGCTGGCTCTGCCCCTGATCTGCCTCTTGGTCAGCCAATCCTATGGGGAAGCATTGTGATTGGATCAGATGATGTCAGCATACAGCTTGTTTTTCTGAGACAAACAGCATGCAGAGTTACAGCTTCAGGCTTGAATATAGATTTTGCTATATTTATGGAGGCATTAGGGACCAAGGGGGGCTAGATGGTGGTTTTAACACTATCGGCTCAGGAATACATGTTTGTGTTCCTGACCCTATAGTGATCCTTCAATGTTATCACTCACACTTTAAGTTTTACTATTTTATATGTTATGTTTCTCAAGCTATAATATGCTGAGGGCCCCTAGAGGCTCAGCTTTTTTAAGGCCTAGCTGTACCTGCTGGCAAATGGGGTATAATCCCCCACATATACTGCACCCTCAGACACAACAAGCACCCTCAGACACACAGCAACTTCAGACACATACAACACCCTTTAGACACACAGCACCCTCACTCACACAGCACCCTCACACACACAGCACCCTCACACACACAGCACCTTCAGACACACAGAGCACTCTCAGACACATAGAGCTCCCTCAGACGCACACAGCACCCTCACACACACAGCACCCTCAGACGCACACAGCACCCTCACACACACAGCACCATCAGACACACAGCACCCCCAGATGCACACAGCACCATCACACACACAGCACCGTCAGACACACTGCACCCTCACACACACCACACCCTCAAACACAGACAACACCCCAGACACACACAGCACCCTAAAACACACAACACCCTCAGACGCACAGCACCCTCACACACAGACAGCACCCTCAGACACACACAGCACTCTCAGACACACACAGCACCCTCTCACACACATAGCACACCCTCACACACATAGCACACCCTCACACATATACAGCACACACACACACACACACACACATATATATATAGTATATAAATAACCGTCAGTGAGTTAACAGACAAAGAAAATTAGAAACATACACAACACCCCTCTTACACACACATGGTATCCCTCTTACACACACACTGC